TAATTATTATTATTTTTTCATTTTTATTTTGCTATAGGACATGTGTACTCACTAGACACACACACACACACACACACACACACAGATGGAACTAGATAATGAGAAAACAAGCCACTGGGTCTGGGACTCAAAAAAAAAAAAAAAAAAAAAAAAAAAAAAAAAAAAATTGCAGTTAGTCATGTGGAAGTCCAGTGCCTTAACCACTATGCCACCTGGACAAATTTAAAAAATTGTTTTAATTGTCAGAGCGCATGCACTTGCTAGAGAGCAAGCAAGAAAGAGAGAGAAAGGGAGGGAGAAAGCACCCCCTCTATGAGGCAAGGTCGTGCTTCAATTTCTTCTCTGCCATTATTTCATCCTGTCAGAATTTGGGGACATGCATGTACCCACACCCAGTGTGTTTTCCTATCTGCCAGGTCTGGGAATCAAACCACATAGTGAGCCATGTGAGATGTGGTTTCCGTAACTACTAGGCCTTGGGCCTGGCCCTGTTTATCTTCTTCTTTTGATTATAACTATTTTATTGAAACAAACAGTGAAGGGATTAAGATGAGACCTACCTCACAACCTACTTGTGCTCCTACAAAACAATTCAAGGGCAAGAGTCAGGAAAGGGAAGTGACTGTTAGATGGGAGTCCTAACAAACTTACTTCTTTCAGGGCAAGGAAGGAAGAGGAGAGGGGCATGTAGGGCCAAAAAAGGGAGTGAATCTTTTCCTCATCCACCATGATGGTCATGGCTGACATCCCTTAACAAAAGACTGGTTAACAAGAGAAAAGCATAACAAATTTGTTTGCTTGTAGTTTTACACGATGTGGGAGCCTTCAGATTGAAGACCAAAAAATACAGGAGAAGCTTTCTTTCTTTTCTATTAAGGAATTAGTTATTCAATTCCATTTGTTATTATTTTTCTTTTTGAGAGAGAGAGAGAGATTTTTGCTACCGGGCACATGTACTCCCCAGAGAGACAGAGACAGAGATAGAAAGTGAGAAATCACCCCTCAGAGGGGATGGCCATGGTGCAATCCCTTCTCCTCCATTCTCCTCCTGGGATTTTTGGTACACATGCACATGTGCCTGGCATGAGTTTTAAGCTGCTGGGACTTGGACTTTAATCACAGTTGGCCATATGGGAATTAGTGCCTTAAATACTGTATCACTTGCTGGCCCCATTATTACTATTTTTTTAATTTGACCAGAGAGAGAGAAATAGAAAGCAAGAAAATAAGCCACTTGGTCCAGGACTCCAACCACAGTCAGCCATGCAGGAGCCCAGTGCTCCAACCACCATGCCAACTACCGTGCTACCTGCCAGCCCTCAGGAGAAGCTTTCTGACTTTGTATTAAGGTTCAATGAAGCACAGCAATATGGAAATATGTTTTGACAAAAATAGCATGAGCTAACAGAAATACTGAGTGGGGATATCTAGCCAGGCCTGTCAAGATTCTGTTTGGACTCTGTTGTAGCAGTTCTTTCTTCCCGATATGGATTAAGATTCCTCTGAAATGAGGGTCTTCATTTCTTTTTGGCCAGCTATTACACGGAAAAGCTCAAGGTGAGGATGTTGGTGTAACATTTGTAGGCTTTATGGCTGCAAAGGGATTCTATTTTTGTTTAATTTTTTTTTTTTTAATATGCTAGAGGGCTGGTGTGCTTGTCAGAGAGACAGAGATACAGGGACAGTGAGAAAGCACCCTCCTCACACCACGCCAGGGTGATGGCTTGCCACAATCCCTCCTCCACTTTCCTCTCAGGATTTTGGGCACACAGGCACACGCGCCCAGTGTGTTTTTTAAGCTGCTGGGGCAGGGACTCAGACTGCACAGTAGGCCATGCAGGATCCAGCCCACTTTAACACCATGCTGCTGCTGGCCTGGGGATTCTGGTTTTTATGACTTGCCTTAGGGAAGAGGAATTCTAGTTCCTATGGCTTGCCTCAGGGAGAACAAGGGGTGAGAGGAGGGCAGGAGAAGATCAGAGAGAAATTGTTTCCATGTCTGCTTTGAGGCCTTCACTTTGGGGTATCCAACAGGCAGGTGTTGAAATGATGAGGTGGGGATTCGGCATCTCACTTCCCTGGAGTGGAGTCCTCCACAGAAGCACTGAAGTGGAAGGGCACGTACTGGTACCCCTCACAGGTCTCAAACATGCGCATCTTTTTCTGACTGGCTCAGAAGGTGCAGCTGGGGTACCTGGAGTGGTTTATGGGCTACAGTCTGATGTGCATGCCAGAGCTGTTTTGGGAACAGTTGGTCTTTCTGTTCTTGTAGGCGGCATTTTCCTGGAGGCAGACAGCCTGGACACCTGTCAAGGACTCATGCACAAAGGTGTTCGCCGGCTTGCACCTTCCCTGAGTCATATTCCAGTACTTTATCATTTGGTTGTAGTAGGTGGAGTTGCTGCTGCTGGAACTTCATGGCCAGAGATTCCTTGCCCAGGGAAAGCAGGACCCACCCCACATCCACAGCAGCAAGACTAGCAGTGGGAACAGGCTGGGGGACTTCTCCAGGGTCATGATGTCCTCACTTTCTTGGAAGAGTCTTGAGTCTCCAGCTTGGTTTCAGGGAGAGTAATTTCTGCAACTCAATGAGTATTTGTTATATGCTGATAAAATTCTCAATATTTTGAGCAGGCAGGTGGTGTGGAGATTAAGGTGGCTGGGTCCCACATGGCTGACTACATGGTTTGAGTCCTGGACCCAGTGGCTTTAAGATCACGCCAGGCACGTGTGCATGCATTCCCAAAATCTTCACAGAAGACGGAAAGGGACTGCAGCATGGCCATCCACACTGGGGGAAGTAGGAGGTAATTTCTCGTTCTCTCTCTGTTATTTCATGTGTGTTAGCTCATTTTACATCTTTTTAAAAAATGTCTTATTTTTGATTTTTGAAACTTTTAATTTTGTCTCAACACCCAAGTTCAACTCTCCAAAAGTTAGCAATCTTCTGAGTGTAGGGACTACTTTGACATAATTCATAGGTCTAGCATAGTCCTTGAACATAGTTAAGTGGTAAGAAAATTATTTTATTTGTCCTAAGCTTTGTTAGAAAACAAAGGGGCAATACTCTTAATATTTTGGGACTTTTCTTTAGATCAAAAGCTTCTCTGAATAAAGGGATTTTTCATTTTTTTATTTCTTGAGAGAGAGACTTGCTATAGGGTGTGTGTGCTCCCTGGAGAGACAGAGAGACAGTAAACAAGAAATCACCCCCTGGGGGATGACCGTGCTGCAATCCCTTCTCCTCCAGTCTCCTCTTGGGATCTTGGGCATACACACATATACACACAGAGTGAGTTTTAAGCCACCAAATCTGGGACTCGAACCATGATCAACTACATGGGAGTCCAGTGATGTAACCATTACGCCATCTGCTGGTCTCTTCATTTTTATTTTCAATGATGCCAGGAAATGAGACCATCTCTTTACTTACAAAGCAAAGGATTCAATGGGTAAATTCTGAAAAGTTAAGCTTTTAGTCAAATCATGTAAGTTTTCTGTTTAGTCTTTATCACACTATTTCCATAGTGACTTATAATTGTGTGTTTACTATAGATAGTGGAAGACTGTCATCTAATAGTCAATATTTTTTCCTAATAGTCAATATTAATACTTGTTATTTACATATAACATTTCACTTTAGAGATCCTCACGTTATAATATTTGGTTTAGAATATGTAGTCTAGAATAAAGTTCTATCATCACAGTATTTCTTTTTTCTGCTATAGGGTACATGTATTGGCCAGAGAGAGAAAAACTGGGAAATGACCCACCAGGGGGATAGCCACACTGCAATCCCTTCTCCTCTGTTCTTCTCTTGGGATTTTGGGCACACACCCACATGCACCTGGAGTACATTTCAAGACACTGTGTCTAGGAATTGAACCATGCAGTTGGCTATGTGGGATCCAGCTGCCTTAACTTGCACGCCACCAGCTAGTCATATCACAGCATATTTTTCCTCTCGGTTCTCTCTCAAAGGGAACCTGTATGTTCAACAACTATGCATGTTATACTCAAATATAAATCTGGTGTGGACATGAGTTTGAAGTAGTGATGGCCAAGATCTGCCAAACAACAGCAGTGACCAATCTTGGTGAAGAGGTAGATGCAGGATAGGAAAGGTTAGTGGCCTTGTAAGCATGCTGTAGTTCAACAGTTGGACAACATGATGCTTACAAAGGATAACCTTTAAAAAAGTTCAGGTATGTGGCCAGATGGTGGCACAGTGGTAAAATATGACACTGTGCAAGACAGGCCCACTCGGAAAGGTTCTGAGTTTGTATCTAGAGCCCTCCCTGAGTACACCAAGCACACATGTGTCCATGATGCAGCGCTGTCTAAGGCTGGGGATGGATCAGATCATCAAGACCATGTTAGGAGTGTTCTGTCTCTTTCTCGCTCATGAAATAAATAAATAATTAATTACAATATATTTAAAATAAATGGCTACAGGGCACATGCACTCACCAAAGAGAGACAGAGATAGAGATAAAGAGAGAGAGGGAGAGAGAGAGAGAGAGAGAGAGAGAGAGAGAGAGAAAGTAAGCTTCCCAGTTCAGGGCTTACACTGTGGTCACCCATGTGGGTGTCTAGCACCTTAACCACCATGCCACTTGCTGGCCCCAAGAGTGGACCGTAAATGTTCTCGCCATACAAAAGATCTATGTAAAGTGATATTGTAGATAAGCTAATCAGCTTGATTGTGGTAATCGATGTATACATATTGTAAATATATACAATTCATAACACATTGTAAACATATATAATTTTATTTAATTATGCCTCAATAAAGTTGGAAAAAATTCTTCCCCAAACAAACAAAACCCACCCAAAATAGGCAATCTGCATACTTCTCTGATGGCTGAAAAATCTCTACTATAAATAAAAAACGTAATAGACAAAGATTATATTTGGAAGGAAAACCAAGAAAGTGTTAACAGTGGTTATTCTGGAGAACCCTGGAAGGGTTGGGGTGGAAATAGAAGGCTTTTTACCTGTATAATTTATTTATTAATTTTTTGAGTGTGTTTTGGCGTTAGGGCGAGTGCACTGTCTGGAGAGAGGAAGCGGAGACAGTGAGAGGGAAAGGGAGGAATCAACCGCACTGGGCATGGCTACCCTGCAATCCCTTCATTCTCCTCCGGGCATCTTGGGCACACAGGCACACCCGCCGGTGAGTTTCAAGCCACCCGGTCAGGACTCCAACCGCTGTCGATCATGTGGCAGTCCGGCTACATACTGGCCCCACCTGCAGAATTTTAAAGATGTATATGCGCAACTTTCAAAAAAGTAGTATGTCTAGTGGAATCCCTTCTCTCAACCCACCAGGTGCGCTTCCTCTTCCTCCCAACACACTTCATCGGCCACACCTTCATTGTTTCCCGGATCTGGACTAGTCAGTCTACACAGCTGACGCCGGAGGGTGGTCAGGGGCCGAGCGGCAGGAAGGGACGCTAACGCGGGCCAGTGGCCTCAGGTGCATGGCAGCTCCGCATTAGCCGCGCGCGGGCCTTCCCATTTCTGTTCCGTAACCGGGTTCTCTGCTGGGAGAAGGCACCTGCCAAGAGCTGGGCCGACCCCGCCGGGCGCTCAGGCACCTGCACAGCCGCGAAGTCGCTGCCGGCGCCAGGGCCCTGCCAGGCGTCTTCCACGAGGACCTGCTCGCATTCCTGGTTGGCAGATTCGTCACATTTCGGTGTCAGAAATTAAAATAAAAACTCGAATCTCCTTCTTTATGAAGACTTTCTCACCCAGGAAAGGGAAGCAGGAGAGATCGCGATTCCTTACATTTTTTTCGTGTGTTCATTTTTCTCCTCTGGCGTCCACAACCCCCACATCCAGCGAGCCGGGGCCTGCGTCGAAAGTGACGACGCGGACGCTCAGGCTACGTTCCCGGCGCGCAGCCGCGGCGGCCCCTTGCTCCCGCCCCCGCCCGAGTCCGACGTGGAACTTGCGGGCTGACCTGGCTGGCGAGGAAACCGTCTCGGGCCGCAGCCGGAGCCGAGGGGAGCGGAGGTGGCGGAGCCCAGAGCCG